AGTCCAATACACGTTTTCTTTGATCGCTACACAAGGTTTCAATTTATCTGTACCTTTGATATGACTTAAGAACCGTAACAGCATCCAGTAAGGAGATATTTGGCAACTCGATTTTAATTTTTTTTTCCAACACTTTGATCTGACGAAAGAAGAAGTGGGTGGGTGATAGTCTTCCGTGCTTCGTGGGAGGTAGAGATAATGTATACTTGTGGAGTGTATGTATGTATGTATGTATGTATGTATGTATGAATGTATGTATGTATGTATGTAAGTGGTGTGAGTCTATGGTATTATGTTCTGTTGTTTAGGTGTGGTATGTTGAGTTGGTATTTTGAGGCTGATGGTAGAGACAGCTGATGTGGTAGTGTTTATAGTTGTGGTAAAGGGTGTGGTAGTGCTCCTAGTTGTGGTAGGGGAGGTCTGGTAGTGGTGGTAGTTGTGATATCACTAGTGGTTGTGGTGTGTGTGTGGTAGCCGCTGTGGTAATGATACTGAGGACGAGTACAGTATAGTGAATGATGCTCTTATCTCCCGCATCGTTCTACCAATGGGTTTATTAGTCGCGCTTGTCTGTCTGTCTGTGCGTCAGCGTGGTCGTGGTGGTAACGCAATCTCTTCATATATCACAACTGAATTAAATTATATGCAAATTAACCTAAGTAAGAGTATACCTTGAGTGCACACGCACACACACACACACACACACCAACTTACAAAATCCCTCTCGGTAGCTAAGATAAGGTCGTTCCTCTGGTGCCCTTCAGTCACAAGTCAGATAAACAAGATGTCTTCCTCAAAACCAAGTTCACGAAATCGGTAAATCTCTTGTGTCTGAATAACTCACAAAGGGAACAAGCAACACTCCCGGTTCATCTCGTACAAGTGGTTATACTCGCAAGGCTTCCCAGATGGTATCACCGGAATTCCCGTCATGAATACAACCCGACCATCTGGTGTAAAGGACCCTTCCAAAATGAGTTGGAATTGTCGCTGGAACGCATGATGCAAGGATCACAGATGTTGTCGCACGCCCCATAGAGCCAGACTAACGCGCTAACCAAATGGACCACAAACATGCCCACTGGTACAAGAACACTGTGGAGAAGACTGCTAAAACTATGCTGGGGAGAGGAACATCTAGTCAACTTATAGGGATCCAGAGGGAGGAAGAGTTGGTTAAGTTGAGTTAGATAATGTTTCTTGTTATCATGTAAGTGTCAAATACTTTAAATGTCTGTATGAAAAGATCTTCAGTGTATCTGGAACGACCTGCATCACACTGAAGAATATTAAGTCCGTTTGCCAACCCCGTCACTTCCCAAATAACTGGTTCAGCTGGGGTTGTTTAGCACTAACGTCATGATATTTTGAAATACTTTGCAGCATCCTAGAAATAGTGTTTAAGAACTACTTTACGAAGTTTTTATAAATGAAAAAAAAAACACGCATGTGGAAATTTTTATATAAATGGCGTCATCAATCACAAAATTTAAAGTATATCGTGGATGGGGGTTGAGGTATAGTCCCTTTATGTCACCCAGGAGCTCCGGAAGGCCACATTTACAGTATAGTCACCTGGTGAGTTGGTGTTAGTTTGTATTGATTTTGTGTTCTGTTCTCGGTACCGGTAATAATGTACAAGGTCCCAGTGTAAGTCCTCCCCTGCCTGTAAGTGATATAGTGAGTGATACTAAAATAAATCGATCCTTTGAGTTCAAGAGTTTAAGATACTGTGTGATGAAGTACCGAGTTACCCCCCACGTTATTCCTCTCCTCCTCCTCCTGGGTTGGTGTTCTTCCCTATTCATGTTATATTATTAATTCCTTACGCTCTCTTGTACATTCCTCCTCTCTCCCAGTTATTCTACATTTCCCTATCCTCATGTTCATTCATTTCTCACTTAACCATCCCTTCTCTTCCCTCACCCACGTGGTCAGGGCGGCCCCATGCTATCTCATCCCTCCTCCCGACCACTCACTCCTTCAACCTGTCCACAACCTTCCACTACAACCTCCTCCCGCATGTCCCACTGACCCACACACCCCTCCCTCCTCCCCACCCACTAAAGTACACAGACTAAAGTACTCATTGTATTACTGAGTGTACCAGGACTTGTGTACACTCAGTCGATGTTGTTTCTATAGAGTTTATTGAATGCCGACAACCATGAGGGAAAATATAGAGAAACAAGGTTGGACAAAAGCTCAGGGTCGAGTCATTGAACCACACACACTTGGTTGTTATCGTTGTGTGACCACCAGGGTAATCCACAGGAACTTAGGACACACGACACTGTTGAGCTGCCACACCACGGTTAATTAACGACCCTCCTGTGTGTAACCTGTCACATGAAAGTACCTGTCACCTGAGAGTACCTGTCACCTGCGTGTACCTGTCACCTGCGTGTACCTGTCACCTGAGAGTACCTGTCACCTGCGTGTACCTATCACCTGAGTGTACCTGTCACCTGCACGATGTTCTTGACACGCGGTATAAGGTTTTCATCCCCCTAATACCCCAGAAGACGTCATTAACAAGATCAAATAAATTAAAACTGGCTATTCAGAGGTTGTTTTCCATCACAGAATTTCTCAATGTCACACAAGACCTGCTATGGGGCTCAGGGGGGGGGGGGGAGGAGATTAACACACACACACACACGAGGCGCTCTCTATATAGCCAACGTCTTATACTCAGATATGATTGAAACCTGCAGGTATGGTATACAAAAAAGGTGTGTATTGATATTCCCTTTTATGGAGTCTTAGAGAGGCTTCGCGGCCATCTTGAATACACGTATGGAGAGAGAGAGAGAGACTGAAGAAAATATAAATAGAGGAGGGGGGAAGAGGAGACGGAGAAAAGAAGAGGAGAAGAAGGAAGAAGAGGAAGAAGAAGAGGAGAAAAGGATGAAGAATAGAAATCAGGAGGAGTAACCGCCCATTACCCTCCTGGAAGTCAACACCTCTAAATCATGCCAAAAGACACCTCCCAGTGGTAGAAACATTAATCACCAATTAATACTGCACAAAAATATCAATTACCAATACTCCCTTGAGGAATAAATAACACAAAAATGCAGAGACATGTTCAAAAGACTCTGACAAGCAATGCGGACATAATTATAAATTCGTGGCTGGCCCAAACACATACACAACCTCCTCTAAACACCACAACTGAGCACAACGCCCTCACAACTCCCTGTCACTCTGTTGAGCTCGAGGTCTCAAGCCGTAAAGTACTGTACCATCCCGTGTTCTAACTCATTTTTTGCATAAACCTATACACCAGCAGCGATATCCATCTTCAGTACAGAGAACATGAGCAAGGGTTATCTATATCACCCTGACGACGCCATATGTCGCAAAACGTCCCGACTAAAGAATGAAAAAACCTAGAATAAAAAAAAATTATAAATACCTAGAAACAAGTTCACATTACCGGTACGAGAGAGAGAGAGAGAGAGAGAGACGAGAGAGAGAGAGAGAGAGAGAGAGAGAGAGAGAGAGAGAGAGAGAGAGCAGGTGACGCACTAAACTAAAAAATACTGAGCCGCACAGTTACGAGGCCTAACCGTAAACCACAATAAAAGTACACAGCGAAGAGAGAAAAAAAAAAAACTCAACACTCAACATACCTAAACACATTCTGGCATCTCCCGAAGACACAAAAACTGCATCCTGTCTACTCCATGATCCCGTCCACCTGTTCACTTCTTCATTACGTCTATACAGTATTCAAGTTTTACGGAAATACTTTATGAACTGAGATTTTTTTTTACGGGTGAGAGATATATTGAACTAACCTATACTTCTTCCTTAACCTACACTCGGTATCACTATAAACACACACACACACACACACACACACACACACACACGAGTATCACGAGCGTATAAAATAGTTACAAGACAAATATGTTCACCAAATCACATAGAAACCATCAATAATTATCATCTGTTTCTCTTCCTTATATTCACCTGCCTTATCTTTCTTCCCTTCCTTATTCCTTCCCCTCACCTAAAAATAATGGGGGGGGGGGGATCCATCCTCACACCCCAGCCCACCGCCCAAGTGTAAACATTCAGCTCACCTGCTATTACCAACAATAAACACAGCACTAATTACCCGCCCAGGTGCCTCTACGCAAGACAAGAATGGGAGACAACGGGGAGGAAATATAATGGAGTTGTATATACAGTACAGGTGTATATCTAAAATCAGCTCCATTATATTCCACTCCTGACCTGACTGATAATGCTTTCTACGTGAGGAATTATTGTTAAGTGAGATTTAAGCAATGGCCGATATAGTGTTTAGGATTCAGTGTTTCTGTTTAATTATTGCGACAGTGAAAACAAGCCTTACTGGAGTGGTCCTTTACAATTCCCCACTAACATAAGCATCAATATAAACTGTGGTAAAGAGAACAACGTTTTTTTCCAAGTATTTTACCCATTATTATTTGGTTATGGATACAGTACAGGTATGTATTATCTTAAGTTGGTCTAGACTGCGGCTCGGTCATCCATATATTTGTATAAACGAGCCGAATATATTCCATAGACCGTGTACTAAAACAGACCACCGGACAAACACACATACGAGACAGATTGGGTTATAATAAACATGGGCAGTGAAGTAAGCGAACCGCGCCTGTCAGTCACATGGGAGGCAACCTTCAGTGACAACGTCAAGTCTGGCTGGTTAGATTATACACTGGTTATGTAAATAGTGCCTCCGCGTTCTTTAGTAAACATTAATTGATAAAGATAACCGGTGACTGTAATAACACCCACAAAGAACAGTGTATTGGTGTTCTTTGATTTCCAGTTGGTAAATACAATATGAACAAATACATTGAACAATATACATAAAATATTAATAGAACAGAGTATACAAGAACACAATACAAAAGTGCTGGATAAAATACGAACAAAACTCGATTAAAATGAACGGAAAACGTAAGAGTGTGAGAAATGTTGACAAGGGTACTTACCGAAGTCTGCCTCACACACGTGTTGTTGAGGGTGTCGCAGGTAGCAGGAACAGGACGAGGCTGGCGGTAGTAACACCATACCTGCCACCACCACCAGACACAAGCACCACACCAATCCCATCCTGTGGCGAGGCAGAGAGTAGGGTATTAGTTTAGTAGGCTGTGGTGTGTGTGTGTGTGTGTGTGTGTGTGTTAAATAACACACACATATTAACGATGAAACAATTACAGTAATCCAGTCTATTAGAACAAGAAAATACAACAATAATTTTCGAGTGGTTGTACACGTAATAGGTGCCAAACAACTTACTGTAACTCCTATAATTATGTAGAGGAGTTTAGTACCTATATTGACGTTAATATCGGTATATCCATAATAGTTCATTCCTTTAACCTGAAAATAATACCGCTGAAATAAGGGAGGCAGAGACAGAATGATTTACGGCGTATGAAAAAGTAAGATTAGGTTAGGTTAGTTTGCTGTTGACTGGAGAAGGGTTGTGATAGGTTGGGTGAGCTTATATTACTCTGGGTTGTTGTTAACTAATTTTGGAAGGGCTCCAACAACCAAGGCACCCCCAGTTCACCCATATGTGAACTTTACAGTGAGGAAGTAAAAGCGGTAGAATGTAGTGTTAGAGCATACCGCCTCCTTGTGTGAAGGGGACGCCAGGCCTATGAAACCCAGCTTAAGTCACTGCCAGTGATGGTTTTGTAAATCCGCTGAAGGTGCGGAAGTCACGACCTCTACAAGGTAGTTTGGACAAAGTATATTAAGTCTTTTTATCAGTTCCAACACAGGATACGTTTACTAAATGGCACTCGTTGTCAACATTCACCACAGACAGCTATAGGGATTTTCTGTACACATCTGTCGCTTGAAAACGTTTGTAGTTTACGAATTAAGTGTTGTGTTCTGATATCGGAAGAAACACATTAATCTACGAACTATTGTCTATTTTATTGTTTAATATTTAAACAGGCTTATTTTTTTCCATAAAGATAGAAAATTTTAAATCGTTATAACGCAGCTTCAACACACTGGATCAGTCAGTTATAAAACACATTTAATAAAGTATAAACAATCCCCCCCCCCCTACACAGCTGCTAATACACAACCTTATCTAAATAAACTAGTCTCTATGTATATATTTATTCACTACAACACAAATTCAACCCATCCATTCACCTTAATCAGACGTAGTTGGATGACCGCGTTAACGAACCAAGTCACGGAGTTAATTTGATGGTTAATGATCACTGAAAAACGTGGTGGTTATGTCGAACACCGAGGGACAGAGCAGCACCGTCCACTCACTACTACTTCCCGACACCTACTGACTCAGAGCTCACAGATTCAGTATGTGAGAGTGAGTCTGGGCTCCCCGCTCCCTCCCAGTCCAGGAAAGTTGCAGCCGAAACAGTTGCCAACTTAACTTCTGTTTCACACCGATAATCGTTTTAAAAATTTTAGTCCACGAATTATTATATTATCATTATTATCATTATATTATTATTTTCATTGTCATTAATATATTATCATTATTATTTTCATTGTAATTGCTATATTATTATTTTCATTGCAATTAATATATTATTATTATTATTATTTTCATTGACATTAATATATATTGTTACTATTATTATTAAATTCGAAAAGCACACAGACAAAATCTTAAAGTGAAAAAGAGACAAACAAATAAACGCCAGATGATGAGAGCTATCGACACAGAGAGCCTGATTATACCCAGCCATGTGTGTGCGTGTGTATATGTGTGCTTATGTGTGTGTGTGTGTGTGTGTAGTCGTATATAAAAATGTAATGTAGGCAAAATAAATATCTACCTATACATAACAAGCATGTGTAAATGTACATATAAAAGTATGCATGTATGTATATAAGTTTGACTATGTATATATGTAAGCAAGTGAATATAAACAGTAAACATATAAATATATATTTGTATAAACAGAAGGATTCGTATATGCATTTTCCCCTCACCTAACTCAAGTATATACGATCGAGTCTCAACGCAATTTCGACGACATATTCACTTATTTTTGCTCAGTGGCTTAACAGGATCAGTTAGGGGCGTCGACACAACCCAGAGGAGTATGTAAAGAGGTCGAATATTCTCTCTCTCTCTCTCCATGATTTGTGACACACCCCCTACTACCACCAACCACAACTACCACCATCAACAACCCCCCTACCACCACTATGATTAACCACCCCCTCACTATTCATCTACCAGCCAGCCAGCCAGCTCTCTCTCTCTCTCTCTCTCTCTCTCTCTCTCCGTTTATTCCATCTACACATTTTCAAGTATTTTTTTGTGTACAGAATAACTCTTTTACCCTTGACCTCAGTATTAAGATTTATTACAGAATAATTCATTTACACAGGATGGAGACAGATGACGGGTAGACAGATGGAGGAGCGGACGGGCGGGTGGACAGACAGATGGGTGAGCAGGATGAGTGTACGAGTGGATGGATGGACGGACGAGGAGACGGGCGGGTGGACAGACGGGTAGACAGACAGATGGACGGACGGGTAGACGGACGGACGGACGGGTGGGTGGACGGACGGGTGGGTGGACGGACGGGCGAGCGGACGGGTAGGCAAACAGATGGATGGACAGGTGGACGGGTGGATGGACAGGCGGATCCTCAGCTACTTCAGGTAAGTAACACCCCGTCTTCCACCTGCCTTATTTGTACACACGCAATTAGTCATAACTTACGTCTGAAACCATATGGGACGGACGGTTGGACGGAGGCATGGACAGATGGACGAGGTACGGATGGGGATAGTGGAGAGGGAGGGAGAGAGGGAGTCAGTGAAGGAGGGAGGGAGTCAGTGAAGGAGGGAGGAAGAGCAGGGATGAATAATTAAGTGAGACAGGGAAGGGTGAAAGGAATGAATGAATGAATGAATGAATGAAGGAAGGTAGGTAGGAAGGAAGGAAGGAAGGAAGGGATTGGGAGAAGGTAAAACTCAATACGCTACACCCACCTTCCGGCATACAACCATCAATCCCACAACATCACTAACTAGACACATACTCTGCAGGTCGTAACATAAGGCAACACACAATAAACCTAACCTAACCTCCCATGATTTACCTAGACGGTGGCTGAGAGGGAATTAGTACTAGCAAGTGGACTGTTTTATATACTTCCAATCATAGCATCAAACAAGTTAAAACACACACACACACACACACACACATACACACACACAGGCAGGCCAGCTGGTGTGTACTTACTTCGTGTACATATATTACAACAAAACGCTCATTAGCTGACCTAAACGTCTCGGTGATCTGATAACACGGTGATTTAACAAAGGGGAGAGGGGGGAGAGGGATGTAGAGAGGAGACAAATATTTGGTTTTATAGAAGAAAATGAGAAGAGGGAAACAAAGAGAAACTGAGAGAGAGAGAGAGAGAGATTATAATGCACCATAATATCCAAATTTCTAAGAAGCACTTTATCATTATATACAGACCAACACATAAACAACTATTTACATATATTTAACGACCGAAACACTGTCATGGGGTAAATGTTGTCCGCCCACCCCCCCCCCCGCCCCGCCCCGCAGCCCACGTCCTTCACATAATTGTTTTTGGGTTAATAACTCTTCGTAGACAAGATGGATTCACTTCATGCTTGGTGTACAGATGCATTATGGCTGTTTCTTCCTTACCGGTTGTTGATATTTATTTCATTATTCTTGTCAGACAATAGCTATTCTGTTGAGGATTGAGCTATTTCCACTGACTCCCGTTTCTTTCAACTCTAAGATAAGTTTCCCACTGTTGTTCTTGGCAATCACAAAAATTCCGCTGTATATTCTTAGCGTAAATTCCATAAAAAAAAAATCCTTTATCTGGCCAGCAGGAGGCGCCGGGCACGAGCGTAACGCCGCACACAGTAATGAACACAACAATAACAAGAGTCTCACTACTAAGCCTGACAGTCCATTTAGGAAGACACACGTTGACAACAGACACAAATATGAGAGGCGGCCATCCAAGAAACATTCCTTCACCAGAACTAAGACGAGTGTTCAACAAGGACTATATTATCTTCACAGTGAGAACTAGTAACACATTGGAGGACGTGTGTTGCTGACAATGGAAAAAGGTTAGGTTAGGTTAAAAGTTTACGTATATACTGTCGACAATACAAACTGTCCAAATGGATTACCAAAAGCAAGATTATTTTCCTCTTTAATTTATCAAGTAAACAATAATCTCAACTTGTTATTAGAGTTATCTTACTTAATCATAGACAACAATCTGTTTCGTTATAATCAACTTCAACGATAACTCATTAACATTACGACGACACATTATCAAGTTGACGACGGCGCCAGTGTGACCAACAGCTGATATTTACGTCAACATTATCGTTAGTCTGTTTACATCTGAAGAGCTGACTACGACGCCATCTTTAATGTCGTAGTTTCTTTCTTTCATCCGCTTTCATTTTTTCTTCTTCGGATCTCTTGTTTAAACTTGAATTTTTTTTTCTGCTCTCAGTTTTGATTTTATCCCCCTCCCCCCACTCTCTCTCTCTCTCTCTCTCTCTCTCTCTCTCTCTCTCTCTCTCTCTCTCTCTCATTGGCTGTGATTCAATAAGCCCTGCAAAGTGATGTACACAACGCTAAGCATAATTTCATGTACCCACTTAAGGAAAAGGTTACCCCACTACCCGCCCACTCGTAGGACCTACCTTACCCTCTCCTCCCTACCCCCTTCAAGATGGTGAGTTAACCCCTCCCCCATCCTCTCAGACAGGCTAATCTACCCCCTCCCCTTCTCCTCTACCGATAGACTGACAAGGTATAATTTAACTATCCATTCTCTTTTAAGGTTTGAGTTACCCCCTCCCCCCTGATTACTACCAAGTACCTCCTGATTACTACCAAGTACCTCTTGTTTACTACCAAGTACCTCCTGATTACTACCAAGTACCTCCTGATTACTACCAAGTACTTCCTGATTCGTGATTACTAACTTGTACTCTCTCTCCTTGACGCCTGGTACACCTAAGATTACACCACAAGTCAACTCATCCCACGATATGACACCACAAAAACACACGAGG